GTGTATGATTAATGCGCATTAATCACGAAGAAACTTAATTAGCAGATTATGCATGTTTATGCAAATTCATATTTTTACACGCGTAACTAAGAAATATAGAATCTAAACGGAGATTTATTTCGCGTAATAAATATCATAACGAGCATTCTCTACATTGGATATTTTATGTGTATGTATCCTTGCAAATATACAACAGTGTCCTCTATATTTTTGCAGCTTTAAAATTCTCATAAATTTCACGTGAAAATCCGCTCTGTCGGGTAATCAGTATTTAGAAAAAGACACGAAAAATTTCGTTACTTTTTATTGCTTCTCTCCATGTAAATGAAATTACTTCTGAGATCAAGTAGTTTAACCAAGGAAAAGGGAAGACCAACGCTCCTTCGACCGGACCTATTTTAGAAATGAATCTCACCCGCGGCCTGGTACAATTTATGTTTTCATACTCTCGGAGATTAAAAATCACTGGCATAGAGTGAGTAAATGGAAACATTTTAATAACGAAGAAAGAATGGGTCACGCACTTTGCTTTTTTCGGAGTACGCGAACGTAATGTACAACGTGGTTCACTCTAATTTCCTGTACGAGTATAATACGTACATATAGACCGACTTACATATATGTGTACATGTAATGCGATAAAGTCCAACTCCGTTTTATTGCGAACGACTAACGTCCTGTTCCTTATCTCATCGCAGAGCTAGGAAAATCTCGATATTTCAGATAAGAGAGAAAACCTCTTTAACTCGTTAAGAGAGATAACCTTCTTTTCTAGCAAGGTGAAAAGAGAAGCCTCGTTTGACGCCGACGGAACGAAGCGACGGAAATAAGGAAGAAAATTCTTGCCGCGCGTACTTTCGCCCGCGAAACTTAGCGATGATTGATGTCAAGGGCTCTCATAAATTCTAGAACCGCGTTGCAGATTTCGCTCGTTATCGGGGCTGTTCTGACAGCCGTAGAAAGCGTCGTGGTTTACCATCGTGTGAATAAACGCAGGAAAAATGGTACAAATATCGTTTCGAGAGGGGAGAAAAAAGGAAAAAGACAGAGAGTTGTTAAGCAAATCAAATAGTGAATCGTCTAACGACGAGCGATCAGAAAATATTAATTAACATCTCGATTAGAAGTTGAACGTGTTTCATTCCATTTTAAAGTTAATTGTTCCACTTTGATAAATTAATTAAACGTTTTCGGAATGATCCGCCGCGTTAAACGGGTATCAAGCTCGTTCGCGTAATAACTTTATCGACAAACGCGATCGATACACCTCTATCGCTTGATATCATGGAAATCGCCAGAAAAATATTTACTTGCCCGATTCGTAGACATTATGCTAAATTTACTGGTTAGTTAGCTGCATCGCGGTAAAATCAATCTTCCTGCTGTATTTACGTAGTACGATGCGATTGGTACATTTAACTGGAGCCTATATTTAATGCTGTGCCGACCGACCAATCCTTCATACAGTTTGTCCGAAGTTAACATTTACGCAACCATGTTCGCAATTGAGGAACTCTATCTTAACAGATATTTAATCGATATCAATTACTACTTGGATAATATACTAGAAAAGAATAAAATTTGACTGGCCAGTGTTCACAATTAAACACTTAAATGAAATAAAAATTATATTAGCAATTTCCTCTACTTTAGAAATGTATTTCTAATTCATTAGGTCGATTCAATACAGATTATAAATATCAAAGAGTAAAATCATAATTCGATTAAAAAACTTTTTAAATTTAAAATAAAAAATCACGTTAGAAATTTCCTTTATACCAAGGATCTCTGCTTTTAAGGATCCACGTAGGATATTTCAGTAGCCATTAAGTCGATCACTCGATGCTACAAAATGTAAAAAGAGATCTCTCGCAAAAGCGCGTTAATACGTGTTACACTGTGTTCCGGTAACACAAAGTCCTTAAATTTCGTGTCGATGATCCCATGGTAGTCGTACAGCGATCGGGTCGATCGATAAGAGAATCCTTCACTTTATCAGTATAGCGCGGAGCTATATGATTTGATATGTGCTTTTAATCGCGCATGCACCCGGTGATGCTGCTCTAACGCGAAATTGGCCTGTCAGTTCATCGCGCCTGTTGCTAACGACACAGTTTCGCCCCCTCCATTCCGTACGCAGGTATGCCTGTTACTCCGAAGAGCAACCGTTTAGTTGCTTTCGATCAGCGTCTTGGATCGGAAGAGCAGAGGGTGTTGGTTTTTTTTAAAAGGACACGATCGCAAGTGAATATTCTTAGTTACCATGTATAGCATTTACCTCTTAGTGCTATACCTGATCTATGTTATCTATCGTATCTACGTCTTAATTCGTTACGTGGTCCTCTAGACCTCACGTACATAGACTTCGTAAAACATATAAATATAAATAGTGTTAACATTACATACGAATCGCACAAACTTTGTTTCATGCTCATCATCGTCCATTTACTTTCGTAATTGTATTTGATACTTGGCTTTATTTCGTTCGCTTAGAGATAAAAAGAAAAAAGAGAAGGAAGGAAGAGAGCGATAGAATTTGAGGATCCATAGTAGATCGTTAAGAAGCTGATAAAAATTATGGAACCGATCGATGTATTAGAGTCATTCTACCTTTTCGAAGCTTGATCATGACATATAGTTTTTACCTCGTTGTGTTGTTCGCTATATTTATATTGCTATATTTTTATCGTATCGTCGCTTCCCTTTCGTACAATCTGTGCATCTTTAACGAGTGTAAAGGCTGTAGTAGCATAGTGCCGAACAAGTCAGCCGTAGAGAAACGATCCTTAAGAAAGAGCTGAAAGCGTCCTTGTCCTATTTTGTTTTTCATGTGACAATTTAGTGAAGATCCTATTGTCGAGTTATCAATGGATTCACTGACCGTTACGTGACGTCTTGTAAGAACCTATTATTCGTACTCTGAATGAAACGAAAATTTAATAGGATAAAGTATTTCCAACTTACAGTACAATTTTTTAAATTCAGAACAGGAACATCGCAGAGTTTAGATTATACTAGAACTTGATGTTCTAATCTCGGCTTTAAAATGATTTTGATATTTGTGCAGGGTAACAAGTTATAAGTGTACTAACGAAACGAGTTTGTAGTACAGTAGTATAATGCGAAACGAGTCAGGCAACCAACCTGTGGCAAAGCTTATGCACTGGTCTCTGGAGCGTAACATTTTATCAACGAAACTCTGGATGCTAGTTTTATTTGCGATACGATTAACAACAAATTCGTACATTTACATCGAACTTCCATTATTTTATTTTCCGTTTAAATTAAACGGATTTATAAATTTTCACGCTATATTTTATCGACAGGAAATAAATTAAAAAGTTGTTGTTATCTAGACTCCCAAATTTTGATAATTTCCTAATAATTGGAATGTGACCAACTCTCGACATGCAGATTGCTTTCAGTTTAAGCACAGATTGTACAGAAAAAGTGATTCAATAAAAAATATACTTTAAATTAATTATAATTATAATAATACTATAATTATAAATAATAATTAAAAAATAATTATAAATAATATTATAATTATAATTACATAAATTATTTACAATTAATTAATACTAATTGTTTCTGCTGATCAGTGCAAGCTGTTTCAATCAGTTTTCCAATTAGCTTTTTCAATAATAACGAAATGAAGTGATATAAAAGGTAAAGGGTCTGATTTTCGATTACCAATAGTCTGTATAAGGTATATCATCTTCATTCGAAATCATTTTATATCTGATATATTCCGTTTGTTATAATCTACCTGCCACCTTCGATATTCTCATCGTTTGCTCTAACAGAGATTGAAGAAATTGAATGTCATACGAAATGGATAACAACGTACGGGTCATTTCGAAATCGAAAATTATGTTAATTTACTGTTTCTATATCATCGTGATAATTATCGTATACGTGATATATCGGATATACATGATTGTCAATCCGAATTGCTCAAACGAAGAAGTAGACAGAACGTAATTCAATACATTTTCGCAAAAACTTTTCTATCCGATTTAATGTCAACGCTATTAGCATAAATGGTGTTTGTAACAGTATGGCAGTGTTTAGCGCAATGTTTGCTGGCGCACAAATGTCTGCTTTTATCTCGACGTTCCCTGTACTGTATTTACTATGGCACGCGAGACTCCTTTCGCTAATAATACGAATTCTCTGGGTAATTACTTCCTATATAAAACAGGATCTTGAATGAATTCGTAGCGCGTTTTAATTAAAAATTCGCTTAGAACAGCGGAAATTCATCTTTGCTACAAGTGTTAGCGAATAATAGAGCAAAAATTGGATATTTTCGAGAACCGTAAATCCATACACATTTTAATGATATTTTCAAAGAATACGCATTTACACAGAGAGAGAGAGAGAGAGAGAGAGAGATGAAAGGGACTGAAGCATTATTACTGTCTTCCACTCACGTTTTATGATTTTGTTCGGGTACAGCGGATGTTGTATTAACTTTTTCTTTGACCGAAGACCTAATCTTTCTGCATAAAGGCCGTCTCTCTGTTCCTTTCTTACCGTACAATATGGTACGGCGTAATTTTTTTGCATCGCGTTATCGTTTCCTGCTGTATTGTATTTATTTTTCACTCCTGCTATACATACACAGCCGTATAAGAGCAAAGGCGAGGCAAGTTACATAAGAACAGAGAAAACTGATCATTATCAAACTGTCGTTTAATACAAAGGGCAAATAGCGAAACATGTTAATCACGTAAAGTTAAAATTTTCCGTAAGTCACAGTGGAGGAATCTTTTACGCGTAGTAAAAATATTTTACGTTAAATAACTAAAAATTCCATACGACACACATACGTACGTATGTGTGTGCATGGATGAATGTAACGAGAGACAGACAAACAGACAGACAGAAAAAGAGAAAAGATATGTAATAGGTATACTACAGTAGTAGACTGACAAGCCAAGTCAGACATGCGCTCTTAAAGAGGGAATCGCGGCAGTGAAAGAGCTCGAGAGCAAAACCCACGTTTCAGTTTGTCGCGTGTGCTGGCACGGCGCGCATATCGTTCCGCGAATCTCGGTAAACGATGTCGAGAAATATGTGGATCGTTTCGACGAAAAAAAACGCGTGCAACGCGATCGTTTCGACCGACAAGTACGTGTCTCATGCGTTTCGTTTCACGTGAATTTTCGCGGAGAGAAGACAAAGCTATCATCGAGGGGAAACAAAAATCGAACACGATACAATCGCGATATCGATACGAATTCGTGAAAATACAGAAGCACGATCACATCTATCAGGTTCATAATCTGAGAATAAGCTTCGTTCGATTAATTGACGTATTATGTCACATTCCCGTACAATCTGCCGTCGCAAACACGAATGATTCCGAACTCTGTATCAATCGTCGACCGTTTGGTTGCGTCGTGAATCGTTTTAATCTATTGCCACCGGCTGCATCGGTATCATTCGTCATAATTCGTGTTACGGTGGAATGTGGCCAATCAGAAGCAGTATTTTCGATAATTTTCCTGGAAACAAGACAAAAGCCAACCGCAATTACCCCGAATATGAAGAGACATTGTGTTCGCAGCTCACAGTCAGCGGTTCGTGCGGTTGTATTTCGACTAATACAGATCGTGTGAATATCGTTCGCTCGATATTCCTAATTTAACGATAAGAATATCGTCGATCCATCTCCTATGAAAATCCTGATGAAAGAAGAAAATCTCGTTCGTCGTGGCGTTCAGTATAAAATGTTGTTCGCGTGTTTGATCGTTCTCCAATACTCTTTGTTCCAAACCAACGTCGGATTAAGTCATTCCTTCAAAGTCAAAGGAAAAACCGATGGAATCTCGTATCGATGTAAAGCTGATCCTTGTTACCCAGACGGATATTATAAAATATTTATATTATAAAACGCACGGTATTTACGGTGTTCCCTTAGTGTTTACGTAGAAAACAACTTGCAGCATTCGCAGATATCGTACGGCTATATTGTTAATTGCCTTGTGGCAATTAGCAATCAAACGGTACTCATTAGAGCGAAATAATGACGGATTCGCCAATACCGTCGGTCAGCAACATTCAGAGTCGCACTCATACCGCAAGCCAGTCTCAAGTTCAAACGCAAATTCAAGATGACAAGAACGAGAAAACGGAGAAGGCTGTTCTTTTGGTAATTTATTGCTATTTATTTTACTATTAGAACACCGAGTCTACCATATTATTTGGATTAAAACCGACGATAATACGTTTCTTTCTCGTCGCGAAGTTGCACGTATTCTCGTTTTGCGTAGACCGTGATGAGAAAACGATCGTTCGAACGGACAGTAACACCGTGTTACTTGATGTATCGTGGAATAATCATCGGTCGTGTAACAAAATGCTCGGTTTACGATTCTAAGAAACTTAGGTACCGATACTTCGCGAATATCGCGACGAATGCCAGGGAAACGGAGTTAATTGCGAGTTTCGGTTTTATTTCGCAGCAAATTCAAGAGATCAACAACCAAGTGGCGCAATTCCGCGATCTGCTGATAAACATCGGCCAACCACGAGACTGTCCGGAACTTCGAGAGAAAATTCGGAGATTACGACGACATTGCGTAGAAGCGTGTAGAAACACGTCCCAGCTCATACTGCCACAAGTACGAAGGTATGGTAAACTTTCTCACAATCTTCTTTTTTTTCTCTCTCGCTTGCTTCCCAGAACGGGTAGTAATAAAAGAAATATTTAATGGAAAAAGTAAAACGATTTACGTCCTTGACACGATATTTCGAATCGTACGAAATTCTCACGGAAGAATTACCGTGTCAACAAGCCGTTAAACTTGCTAATTAGCAGGTAGAGAAGGGAGGTCAGAAATTGGAAGATAAGTCGAGAGAAATAAAAAGAAAGGGGGAAACCGAGAACGATTGATTAACTAGTTTATGTCAATTACTCCGAAACGAGCGTTAAACGAAGACATCGCGCGGAGCGAACTCGAATTGCTTCCGGTTAATGAGATTCCAATTAACGGGATAAATAGATTGCTATAACAGAAGCGAACCAGCCACGATAGTCAATACGTATATGTACGTACAGTTGCTACCACGTTTGTGGTTTGGTACGTTGGTACTCACCGCTTCTGATGCAGCGATGCAATATGACCAAAGATTTTCCTCGGTGAGACACGGAAATGTATCGCTTCAAGGAAATCCAAAAAATCTGCCATTTATCGCACTTATCGTTGTGTTTTATTCGCCAAATTACATCTCTTAACTACGACGCTAAACGGCTTTTTAAAGTCAAATTAGTCGCTCGCATTTTCGTCATTACCCTGATAATCTTATCGCGCTTCCGAATCATTCTTAACCCTCGGTTATCATTATGGATTCTGGTGACCCACAGTTACACTTTGTAAAGAAATATCTACAAGACGTCGCTTATAATGGCGCTATGTCTACAATCTGCTATCAATTTGAAGTATTTCGAGCTGCTAAGAATTCCGTAAGTTTGTGGCAACTCTCCAAAGTTAGTTACGTCCTAGCGTCGTGCTGATTCAAGCGTATTTTTTATTACAGTGGAACATATTTGATTTCTGTGCAAATCTCACGTAAATTCGTCAACCATTATTATATATTTTTTTACACCTGAATCTACATATGTAACTGAAGTAAAAAATTTTCGTACGAGTGTGTGTGTGAATAAATTAATTTTTTCAAATAACTGCATCGCCTTTCTTGTTCAAAAATTGCTCGATATATCCAATAAGTATGCGTCCTCGATGTGTCAAGTAAATATATTTTTTGAAACGTGTATTAAGAAACTACTTTTTTCCTTTCGAGTACCTTAAAAGCCTTAATCTTCAGCCAGAAATGTCAAAACGTAAAAATATTGACATTTTTTTCATAAAAATATCTTTTTTTCTAAGCTTACGGCTAGAAAGATTTTTTTTTTTTTAAGAATGATGTCACTTCGTTTATTAACCTCTTTCTGTCAAAGCATATTCTAGGATGTTCAAACTATATCCCCAAATTTTTTCGATTCAATATCACTGCTATTTTTTGGACAGCAGGTAGTTGAAAATTGAATAGGGTCTGGGAGACCTAGTGTGACAACCGGAATTCCTGAAACAAGTATAACCGAGGGTCATCGACTCTATACTAGTGAAAGCTATCCATTTGGTATTTTTATATCAAAATTCCTTTCGTTGCTGTAATCAAACCGCGCATCACAAGGAAATATCGCGTTCTACAATCAAATAAGGGAAAGGGTGAAATAATAGCGTCACGAAAGTTCCTATTACTTTGAACTGTGCTGCAAAGAATGTTATCGATTCCACGGGATTGGTTTTCCTAAGAAGAAGAGAGAGAAAAGAAGATATAAAGAACGATGACCAACGTCCAATCTCCAAACATTCTCAGACGTCACCTTTGAACAATTCTCTTCCGCGAGTTTGCCTGTTTTAATGAAAAGTTAAATGTTTCACAAATTTCTTCCTCTTCTGCATTCTCATTAATTCTCCTCTTATCTGATTTACAAGGAGACGAATGAAACAGCCGGAATTTCCGACCCGTCGAATAAATTTTGCAAAATTACAAACGTCCGAAAAGTCATCTATCTGGTAATTTCTTCGATAGAAGCTCGATGCATTGCTCGACAATCCTTGTTGGTTTTAATAGAAACTGTTATTCCCGTTAAATTGTATTCGTAATCAATTTTCACCTGGCTTTAACAACTCCTTACCTGCAGTTAGATTATCGGATATTACATATTCGTTTATTATACGTTTCTCGTTACATAATTGCTTAATTATGGCGCGACACATCGTGTACACAATATTCGCCCTCCGTTTCCCCCATTTCCATTCGCGTAACACATTGCTGCGTAAACTCTGCTACATTTTAAACGTCAAACGCACACTAATCGCGATCAAGTGTTACTTAAATAATTATTCCGCGAAAATGAAACGCAATACAATTATCAGAAAGTTGCGTAGGCTGAGAAAAGGAATTAAAAATTATATCAAGCCTGGCTGAAAGCATGATTGATTCACAATGAAGCACTTAGCAACATACCGAACGTCTAATTTATCATGCAAACAACTTTTCCAATACTTCCGTGCCATGTAATAGGCCTATCTCGTACCTTATCTTACGAAATCACGCGACTTCTGTATCGATTACGCGAAACACGGAAACGTTCACCTTTTTTACCTTCTTTTTCATTCGTTTTTCTTTTTCCTCTTTCTGTTTTCTTTTTCTTTGCTCCTTCTTTCAATGAAATTTGGCACGTGTATTCATTTTCGTCAATGAACGATATTACACCGAAACGCTTATGCATAATTCCGTTTGATACCACTAATCGAAGCAGATCACAGTGTACGCATAAATTACGGGTTTCAACTTAAATCACGTATCATTCGTAGATTCCCCTTTCAGATCGCTGCGCTCGTTTCAAAATTTATTCCTACTAATTGCCTACGAGATAGCGATAAACGAGAGTGGCAACATAAGAGGATCGAGTTCATCATCTGGTAATCGCGCTCGCTGTTATAGCTCTTGATATCAAGCAAGTTTGTTGTTAAGCGTTACTTACAGACCGCCAGGGAATTAAGCGATAAATAGCAAGCGCATGCGAGGCACCGCTGACGTAAATCATAATATAAACGGTCATTGAAAAGAAAGAAACTGGATTATTAGATTTTTGCGATACTAAAATTACAGCCCTGGAAAAATTGTGGTTGAAAGTTAGTCGAGAACACGCAGAAACCATTTACAATTTCAAGAGTAAAACGTGAGACTAAAGCCTTAAAGGGTATTACTCCAACGATTTCCACGAAACTTCGTAAACATCGAAGCAAAACGATATATTATTTACATTTAGGTCTACTTGCTTTTAGAATCCCAGCTTGATGTACGTAAATTTTCACAGATTATTTATAAAAATAGTGGAAACGAAAGTTCATAAATATCTGAACACTTTAATTTTTAGTAAACGTACGTGAATTTTCTCAAATTTATGAAATTATCAGACGATACATTTAAATTGCTATACCAAACACCACGCTATTAAATATACTATCTATATCATACTGTTAAATACCATCGCTTGCATTAAAATCGGGAACTTATAATTCGAAAATATAGAACGTAGCCATAAAAAACTTATTAAGCAATAAAATACTTGTACAAGATTTATCCATTAGCAATGAAAAATGATTTATTATCGCATATTTGCTTTTAGAAAATCGATATAAAGACTGAAATCACTGCAGTTCAATTTATCTGTAACTTTGCAATTAAAATACATGCTGCCAAGGAGAGAGATGTTGTCGAGGAGTTGTTGTTTAACTCCTTGCGCTACATTGTGGCGATTGCACAATTTAAAAAGAAATTTACGGTCAGAGGATTGTTGAACGCGCCACGTCGGTGCACTTCGTTATAATTCTACGATCTCACATTACGTCTCGCCTGTTCGCAATGAAAAGAAGAAATTCCGTGGCTGGCCGCGAACCAACACGAAACAATCTCGTTACGTAATGAACCGCTTGGTTTCATGTAGCATTTACAGAAACGGTATTAAACATTCTACATTTGCAGCAACAAAGGTGTTTTAACTAAATTTTTAATATATCAAATTTATTTTGTTTCGCATGTAACAATCATAGCGTAAAGGTTTTACTCCACGTCCCACGTTTTATCGCATTCTATCGACTGACGTGTTTCGAGTCTTTGTAAATGTTAATAATCGTGTTTCTCGGGTAATTAGCTTGGTAGAACGTAGGATGAAAGGTCATGGAATTATTGGCTACGAAATAAGTCGCAGACGAACAAAGAGAAAAAGAAGAAGTAATAATTGGAGAGGGAAAAAGTGGTCAGATGACGAAATCCCTAACGAGGAAACTTGGGACGACAAAAAATAATAAGCCTACGAATGGGTTCTGCTTTCAGAACAACGGATATCGGGATCCCTGTTGACTGCCCAAATTTGATGCTGCTCTTTTATGTTGTACAATTATTCCTGCGCGAGCTCTGCAAAAGTAAGAACCTCATCCGCATCGTGCCGATGGATATGACGGAATATTACGGTAACTTTTCTAAGCATCCTATATTTTTCTACGAGTTAAACATTCTAACGAATAAAGAATCCTATCAGTTCGTAAATTTACTTGCGATAAACGCGTTACATACGTTTTATCTATCATCTAAAGGTATTCGGCGAAAGAAGATAATTTAATTCAGAATAAACGACTTAGAAAAGTATTATCTCTTTATCCTCGAGATTTTCTCCGTTTCTATTATCAGACACACAAAAAGAAAAGAATATTTTCAACTATATATAAATATTATACATAGGTACATATACGAAGACATTTAAGATGTGTATATATATAAAGTTTCTCCCCATTGCTAAAGGGTCCAACACTTATATGAACGCAGACTGCGGATTTTTATAGAAATTCATATTTCACAAGCGTGACTGCTGAAACAGAATCCAAGAAGATATTTATTTCACTTATTAACGTAGGTGAAACTACACCTATTTTTCTTCTCACCTATTGAAGTAGGTAGAATAATTTTATAACGAGTACCGTAATTTGGATAATCTCATATATTCTTATATATTCGCGTGTTCTATGCATCTTTACACCCTTAAATTGCAGTCTATTTGTACGTCGCGCGTTTTTCTTTTTTCTTCGCAAACAGCCATGGTAACGACCAACGCAGATCTATTTTTGCTCTCGTTACAGAAACTCGAGCCGGGCCATCCAACATCGGCAACGTGATCTCGCAGATAGTCCTCTGTAAGCAGATCACACCGGATTTCTACGAGGAAGAATTGTGCAGCATCCAAAAGGACTCCGAGGAAATTCGAGGCTTGATGAACGAACTGCAAGAATTTATGCCCCAGTCGGGTGGCGATATAGGTACCGTCGTATTCTCTGTTTACCATTCTCCCCTTTTCCTCCCTTGTCTCTCGTTTATAGAATTTTATTTCGCAACGCCCCCGTTTCTTTCCCTGCGTATATTTCCACTCGTTTTTCACGGGTTGCTCGAATTTTTCTCGAGTGTACGCTTCGAGGGGATAATATTACAAACGCTATTGGTTGACAAAGAGCGCACACGCGGTAAGAACGTTTTTCGGAAAGATAAAAGCCCTTATCGCCCGGAGAGATATTTTCCAAGGGGCAGGTTAAACTGTTTTTCAAACAGCAGAGAATCGAACGGCATATTCACTCGATTCACTTCGAAACGTAAACGCGCCACGTCTGTTAATTCGATTACGCTGTTCTACGAACGCTTCGTCGTTCTATTTGCCACTCTAATATCTCTTCCTGCTTTGTTGACCTTACTTTCACTATCCATCCTTCTTCCTATTCTACTGCTCTCTCGCGACTTCTCTCTATTCAACCGCCTCTAATCGGGTTACTCCAGAGGCCAAGGTCTGGATTTCAAAGGAGAACACAATCCCCCTTTTCTCTCTGTTCGTCTCTTTGGCTATATCTTACCTCCTCGCTCCTGCCAATTCCCATTGATTCCACGGAACAAACGTATTAGCTCTAAACAGGCTGAAGCTCGGTATAGAATTATCAAGCTATAATACCGATTCACTTCTCAGTCACGATAGTACACGACGACCTTAATTATCTGCCGATATAATGAGCGAATTCGGATGCGCCCCTGTGTCTCACTAGGGGTAGGACCGAGAGAGATAGCACGAAAATTACCATGTACGATCTTCGATCCCCTAAGCGTCAATTCGAGACTTTGCCTGCTTATCAAGGGAATAACGATACGACTAGAGAGAAACAGAGAGAGAGAGAGAGAGATTTGACATTGAACAAGAACCAGGTCAAGGTCGAATCAGAACATAAACTTCCCTTAACGCGCGTTACGAACAGGTTTAAGGAAGATCACGCGCGGTCACAGAAATAGAATAAGAGAACAGCCGCGGTCGGTCGAAGATTCCGGGTGAAATTTCGTAAAAGGGCAGGTCGAGTGGTGTTGTGTGCACGCGGCGTGTCGAGAAAATTCGTCGGGGAAACGGCGCGAAACGATACGAGAGAGGAACGAGATGGGAGGAAGCGGAGCGCGAATAGAAAAGAACGCACGGTTTATTTCCGAGTGGAAATACTTAGGCGGAAGACTTTGCCGACGTGGAAACAAGACACATGCGCAGCTTTTACAAATTTCCAAAAGATGTTCGAGCCACGGGAACCCGGTCAATGTAATACGGTGGAAGCGCGTAAACAAGAAATACAAAACACAGAAATACATAAAAGCTACGGAGAACGCGAGAGTATTATTCAACATTAAACAGAGCTTTCGGGTCAAGGATAGATGGAAACGTGGAAGTTCGTTCCTGCGTTCCCTCCGTTCTCCACGGAAACGAGAATTCGCTAGGCGCGGGAATAGGGTGGGAAAATCAAAGGTAGAGAGGGAAATATGCTCGACCGCGAACCGATAAAGCAATTTGAGTCACGATTTGCGAAACAATCTGGATAGACAAGATCGTGTAAACCTTTGTATGGTTTACCGATATGGTTTACCTATGGTGACCCGTAGCCAGACCAGGATTCTCCATTTCTGCTGATAAAATTAATATGTATCGTCTGTCGCATGCCATCAAGCGTGGAGTGCAATTTTCGGGGTCAAGGACGCGAGGAATTCACTTTCAACTACGATTTTCCGAGAAAAAAAAAGGCCACCTGCGGTAACTGGAAATAAGTTTTGTTGCGTGTCGAATAGAAGAGAAAAAGAACGGGAAAAGAAAAATATGAGAATGAGTTACGAAGACTGTCCCTTGATAAAGTAAATTTAAGTTACAATTCGCGAAATAACAAAGCGAACAAAGGTTCGCGTGATATTTTTCACTCTTAAATTTCACGAAACATATTTTATCGCTGAGATTCTCGGAGTCGATGAAACCACTCGTGATTTTACGATAATGCAAAGTCGAACGCGAAGAGATCTCGGCGAGCAGGCATCGCAATTTATTGCGGCCATAGCAATGGTAGAGTTAAGTCGTCTTTTCATCGTAGAACGATACGAGCTCGTACGATTTTTCCGTATTGCCTGGCATCGTATGAAATAGCACCGCTTCCGATCGTTGTCGGACTAATGGCGATGATATGTCCCGCTTAAGAAGGCTTACATCACATTTCGCTATAATTTATTCGGCAATCTTTCTCCCTTTCGCGTTTTCATTTCTCGCCACTCTAAAATACGTTCCCAGGGTATAATCGCTGAAGATGATATTCTTTCAGAGAAGAAAGCTCCTTTGAAAAGTACTGGATATTAAAAAATAGCATCGAGAGCCGTACATTATGAAAATCGATACAACCGGACAGTCTATCTGCTAAGTGATTCGAAACATTGTGGCTATTCTCTTTAACTTAACTGGTTTGCTAGTTGAGTATTATTCATTTTTCTATGTACTTCACAAATGCTTAGTCATAACGATGTTAAGTCAGTTCGCAGCTATTTTCTTTTTTTATAAAATAACGCCTTACATATATTGTTATACATAACTCACTATATTTTTAAGTCATGAAAATGTATCGTTGCAGAGAGAACTTGTAAGAATTGAAATATGTGACTACATTCAAATTTTCAAAATCTTGACTTACCCCACTATGGTTTTCAGCTCGCCAGATAAGTGAGAATCGCGGACTTGGAAAAATTGCCCCAATTGTGAACCATCTGAATAAAAATTGCAGTGAAACCTATGCTATCCAGATATCTATATCTGCACATTTAATCCGAAAAGATTAGTATGTCAATAAGTTAAAGAAAGATATCAAATGAAAAGGAGTAGAGAGAAATGTTTTTTAGGTATCACGTAAGAAAATTCGTTATATACAGTGCTGTTTGCATTTTTAATTTAAAAAAAAATCTTATGAAGAATTTCTTCGACTAGGAGTATATTGACTCGATCTTCCAGCGAATAAAATCATCCCTTCCTTTCCTTCATTAAATAATTGTTCGTTCAAGAAATATTGACTCGACTATATATTTGGTTTATGAAATTTTCAAAGCTAAGAAAATTTCTTCTACGCTTTGTTTGCAGAAAAGTACTCGGCTTTACAGAGTGCCGGAAGTAGGGGTAACCGTCCCAACGGCAGACGGATGCATCGATGGAACCAAAGCCACGAAAGGCCTAGCAGGCCTACCAGACAATCGTCCTACTTTCACGGAGCTTTGAATCTCTTTTGTTGCGCCGCAAGAGCCAACTATGTTTAATCGAACTAAACGTATTTGCCCACATTTTTCTCTTAAAGAAATCGTTTCACAAAAGTTTTTAATAATTTATATGCCTAATTTCCTTTCGTTTTTAATTTTCTATCTGTAAATTTTAAGAATAAGCGATAAAAGGAGAACAAATTTTCGCTATATTTTTAAATCAAAAGGATATTCAACTCTAGTCGATTAGTCGATAAGAAACCTGATACTGAAGCTTTATTTAGTTCATAAGTACGGATCTCTAAATATAGAAACATATTGGGTATTTTTATAAAAAAGTTTCATTTACTGCGGAATCGTTTAAATATATTGAAAAATCTGACTTAAACTTACGGTGCAAGTGAGTTGTTGCATTGTTGATCGACCACTCGGTTCCATAAAATTATGAAGACAGATCGATTTCTTGATAAAATTTAATTAGACTTTCTCTCGTCCATCGATCAACACCAACGGCATAATAGCATCTAGCATTTAAAGGAAAAAAGAGTCAATGTAAAAACAATCATTATAGATGTGACATTGTCGTTTATTTGTGTATTTACTACTCGAAATCCGAACTGTGATGAACGAGCTCAAATTTATCGCTGATCGGATAGCATATAAGAAACTATGCATCACGTTGGAAAGTAGGAAAATAAATGCCAACTGAATTGGACGTTGATCATTCCAATAGTGGACCAATGTGAACCACGTATCGCCCATATGCACAATAAGAGTAACGCAATTAAAAAGAATTTATACTTTGAGAATTTAATCGTATTAGTCTCTGACAGTATTCCATCTTTATCTAATTATATTTCATAAAAATCATGATACGTTCGTATCTTTTCATTATTGTCATATATATAAGGTCGTTATTTATACATAAGTTAATAAAAATGAAACATTTCACGCTTTTAACTCGTGTCATTTTTTATAACAAATTGGCGATACGGTTCTATAAACGGTTCATTTTAATGTTAAATGTATTATTATATGAAATTGAAAAAAGATATATGTATATGTGAAATCTATATATACACACATACATCTATATGTATACACGTTACATTGAACCGTATAAAAGTATATATAATGTTGGTTTTACGGCCACGTATCAATAAACGATAATAATTATTAATTATCATCGTTTCATTGTTCACGGTATTAAACGTAATTGACTCCTTCCGCTAGTGACGCTTCGACATCTTTTGTATTACTATTTACGTTCGACTTCAATTATCGACACGGAGAATATTAGTGTATGGCGCAAATTATCGTTTTTTTATTTAAAAACGAATCAATCTGGGTATTGAGTAGAGATCTAAATAAGAACATAAATATGTAAAAGAAAGTATAAAACGTTGTATGACATTGTATGTAAAGCATAAAAGTTAACGTTCGTGTCATCGATATTATATTCATAAGGATCTCGTCACTTTGGTGAATTCTTAGATGTCTTTTTCATTTGACGGTGCAAAGAAACTTGAACGTTAAATCCTTCATCCAAATTCTCTATCGGCAAAAAATTTTATTGTACGTTACATCATATTTGAAGAATAATAAATAAATCACTATATATTAAAACTTTGTATTTGGTTCTGATATAGGAAAATTTTCATTGCCTTTCAATTGATACATATATAAGAAAATGAAAATATGAGAGAATAAGACAAATGCATGATATACCTTAAATGTAGTAGTTATATCGAATTACTAATATCATATCGAATTACTAAAATTAATAAATTTTAATCTGGCATCTCCCACTTACTTTTGTCGAATTCTTGTTCAAACTGATCTGACGTCTATGTTTTCAAAATTACAATACACTACTGCCCTCCTACAAATATCGGAAGAAACTGTATAGCGCGCAATTACAAAATGGCGACCTATTTTCGAACGAGATGTAAGAACGTATGAACATAAATCTGTAATGAATGTAATTGAAGTCATGTAATGAATAAAAGTTCCGCTAATAATAAATAAAAGTGCAATTACAGTAAATAATCTTACGTTAATTATTGCTTAAATAAAACTTTGTAACTCTAAAACTACTTCTAGAGATGTCGCTATTAAGTCGAAAAGTGTATGCACTTACATATCTATGTGAAACAGTTCACATTATATAATGGTAGATCAGTAGAACCACATTTGTCGTTCTCGAATTTGGATACTTGCTGTTCGAAATATATGACAATGTCCTTCAGTAGGATAATTGTAAGTATTATTTTAATATATAATTTATTACACTCGTTAATATTCAAATAAAATGTATAAAAATTGAATTGTTGATAATGAAATGAAATATTCCGACAATTTAATTACGATACTGATTGAATAAAAACATTCTAAGACCAAAGAATATTACACAAAATTAACAAAAGACATTACTATTTTTTAGGTGCGGTCACTTTCTAGCAGTTCTGCTGCTCAACAAATGGTTAAGGTACTTTTCAAACATATATTAGATATAAAATTACATAACTTTAAAATATATATTTAATACTTCAGATAGTATTTCGTAATCATATGTTTTAATAAGTCACAATTGTGCGAATTACTTTTAAAAACTTTAGAATATTTTCTATTAATTTCATTTCCAGTAATGAAAATGTTACTTCACTGTCTTTTTGTTTTTAGCCTCCAATTCAAGTATATGGAATAGAAGGACGATATGCTACAGCACTTTATTCTGCAGCTTCAAAACAAAAAGTATTAAATAATGTTGAAAAAGATCTGCTTAAATTTCAAGTATGTATGATAAATACTACATCTTATTCTTAATTTATAACTAAAAATAATTTCACTATTAATAAAAACATATATATGTTAGAATCTTCTGAAGAAAGATAAACAATTAGCAGAATTTGTGAAGAATCCATCGATAAAACGAAAAGATAAAGTAAAAGCACTTCAGACAATTGGTGGAAAAGTTAGTCTAAGTAAAGAAACTGTAAATCTGTTGGGTTTACTGGCAGAAAATGGCAGACTTTCGGATGTAAATAATGTAATTAATACATTTAAATTATTTATGGCTGCCAATAGAGGTGAGGTCCCTTGTGAAGTTATAACTGCTAAACCACTTGATGCTGAGATGACATCTAAGCTTCAAACAGCTCTAAAGGGCTTCTTAAGTAAAGGTCAATCTATTTTGCTTACTTCGAAAGTCGATCCTTCTATTATTGGAGGTATGATTATAGCAATAGGTGATAAATATGTAGACATGAGCGTGGCCAGTAAAATAAAAAAATATTCTGACATTATTGCTAACACAGTGTGATCACTTTCTAACATTCAGTGAAATGAGCAAAGATAAAGTACTCATATAGAACAATTCATGAGTATTCTGTATGTCATTAAACAATAAAATATTCAGAATCTACTTATTGCTATTAAGAAAATCTGTTTTTTATTATATTAAACCATTTTATATATAAGTAACCTTTATTTTTTTTGTAAGTAAAATCAATCAAGATAAAAAAACAAGATCTTACTTATATAATAGTAAGATATAATCATATTTATTCTTATGCTAACAAAAATTTGAGTGCCATTTAAAAAGTATTTATATTTGAAAAATTAAGTACTTACAATGTTTTGAATTTGTATATGCATTTACAGAGAAGTTTACAAACGTTCAACTTTTAAACATTGCTACATTTTATAAATTAATATATATTGTAAGAACATTGTGTTTTAATATAATCATCATGCCTATTACTAGTTTCAAATGGCAAAAAGTGGACTACTTTTCGTAAAAATTTAAAATGGAATGTTATAAATGACATTGATTATGCAAAAAAAAATGTGCTTACATATCATTTTACAATATATCTAAAAATGTGTAACCGCACATTTATAGCACTATGTAACAATAAACCTTCAAAAAAATTGATTATCATAAATTTTCTTCCTACAAATTTACAATAGATTTTAAAAAATTCAGATTTAAAAAATAAAACAATAGTTGATAAAATATTATGCATATTTACCTAAATACTCAGTAATCATTGGGCATTTTGTAATCTTTTTTTTTATGATAAAAATAACATAAATCGCACTAAAGTAAGACTAGAAAATACATTGTCTAATCAAAGTTTGAATGTAGTGTGAGAAAGTGTACACGCACATTTTTACCCTAATTGTGAGATAACTTCATTGGATGGATGTGCAGAAAAAATTGAAGGCACATCTGCATAAAGCTTGAAAAAGAAAACATTCATCAAAATTGAAGTAATTTCTATTTAAAGTAGTTTCATACTTTAATTATGCTCTATATTGCAACTGGAGGTATATCATTTTTTACTAAAACCCAATCTTCTTCCTCAATTGTAGTTGATATCATAAACTCATTCGGTACAACTGGAAATAAATATTTTCCATTTATATTGCAAAAGTGTAATCGTATGTTAGGAACTAATTTTATTATACTTACTATGGAATTCAACTTCTAATTCATGTTTACCCATACCTGTTGAATGTGACATTTTCCTCCCATCAACATAACTACCTTTTTGTAAAGGTTCGTTTAATTTATCTTGTAAAAGCTTTTTTCTACATTCACCTAAATCTTCTAACTTCCTTAATTCCGTACGGTAACTGACATCTTCATCTCCAGATTCCGTTTCTGTATGGTCACTGTGATCATTATATTCATTTTGCTCAATTTTTTCCTCTGTGAAAGAATTATTGGAATGTACTGCACAACCTATATATGTAATTGTATCAATAGATTGGGACATATTTGAATTAGTAGTATTAATTTGACTGCTCGTCATATACTTTGACAAATCAAAATCCAAAACATCAGCCAAAAGTTTTTCTTTATTTTCTACATCACGTTGGATTGATTCAAGATTTCTTTCAGTTTTTGATATAAAATCATCATTGACACAGAGTGTTAATAAAGAAGAATGCATCGTCTTTGCATCATTGGCATTTATTTTGTCCTTATTGAAAGCAGATAAATCAAAATTAATGTCAGATAATGATGAACAATTTCCATTTCCATTTAATAGCCTATTATGTGATTTTTTAATTTTCCTTTCTGGAGTAAATACAACATCTTCAAATTCTTGTTGACTTATTTTTTCGAATATTTGCCTTCTATCATTATGTTTTTCATTTTGTTCACTACTTTTTCTTTTGGAAATATCATTATGTTCTGTTATTTTGCTACTGTCTGTTATTAATGAAGAATTTAAATTATCTGGCATCACTGGTACTTCTACAGCTTCTTCCGCACTTGTAATTGATGTTACATCAGTACCAATAGTAACAATTGGTACAATTCTAAAAAGTGATATATACTTTTAAACAATTTATATATTATTTATTAATCAAAAATAAATACATTTCTTTTTCACTGGGATACTTTACCCTACAGATTGAATAATATTACTTGGATTGATTTTGTGAAAAGGAATAGCTGGCACTATCGTACTTTCCATTAATTTTGAAGTTAACTCTAATATACCATTGGTAACTGGTTTACTAATTTCAGCAAATGACAATAATGGATCTGATGCACTTTTTGCTTCTACAAATAAAATCGGTTGTTAAAATTCGAATAAGATATTAGAAAAATATTCAATAAAAATATCTACCTGATGAGAACATGTTAGTTTCAGGATAATATGCAATACGTATTATGTTCCTTTCCCCTTCCAACACAAATATTTCATCTTTAGTACAAGCAACATTAGTAACACGACGTAAATCTGTTACAATGGATGTTATAGCAATAGTCTGTGGATTTACTACATATATAATATCATCGCTGTATGTAATTAGTAAGTCGTCACAAAAAGGTAAAATGACACCAAATGTAGGTTCCCCGCGATTCTTTTTACAACTTTCTGGTGCTGGATTTAAAAGTTCCACTTCTGTATGCCCAGATCGAACAGCATCCTTAAAAATAAGTGTTTTTAACACAGTCCCTGTTTTATCAGCTTGCCATAAACGTAATCCAGGTCTACTAGCATATATTACTAAGTCTTGTACATAATTTTGTCTACAACCAAATACAGCACCTAATCTTCCCAATCTAAAATATATGTTCATTGTTATGTTTTAATTTATAACATTACTGTTTATTAAAAATTGGATGTTAATTCAATTAACCACTAACGTTTTGCGTTCTTTCTGACCAACTTGTGTTACCTTTCCATTCTCATTTCTATTTACCAGTATCGTACGTAATGTTGTAGAAACTAACAATAAACCTTGTTGATAACTTAATTGCACTACTGCATACTTCTCATTTAACAAT